TGGTGCGAAGATCTCTTTGAAACTTTCAGTATTTCTCAAACGATTATTTTGATAGACTGCTATGCAAAGCGTACGGATTGGATTAACGAGTCAATTTCCTCTTTGGAAAGTGGTGTTACAGAGTTCCCCATGTCGTATGGATACAATAGTAAAACCCGACGTACGGAGAGGGTTAAACATTTATAATAACAACAAATCTCTGTTATTTCTTTTCAGGTACTATGCGATTCTGCATCCCATGAGAGCAAAATGCACGTGTACTGTGACTCTCGCTCGCCGCTGCGTGCTGCTCGTCTGGGCTCTCAGTGCTGTCATGGCGTCCCCAATTTTAGTTGGACAAGTAAGTGATTTTTGTTAGTGTTTTTGCTTCTGTTGTCTTTGCTGTTTTGGACCAGGATAGTGAGTTCTTTTCTGTTTTTGTTTTATTTTTGTTATTGTAGCTGATGTTACTTTTGCTGTTGCTATTGTTGTTGCTGTTACTGTTGCTGTTGCTGTTGCTGTCATCGTTGTAGTCGTCGTCATTGTTATTGTATTTGTTGCTCTTGTTGCTGTGGATGTTGTTATTGCTATAGTTGTTGTTGTCAAAGCTACTGGTTATTATAGTTATCGTTTTACAAGTACTGGCAGCCATAGTTTATGTAATTGTGGATATCTTGATATCTTGTGTTCCCAGCCCATGCTGTGATACAGAAATTGATCATACTTTCTTTGGTTGAATGACAGATGGGCATCAATGATTTATCAACATTGAAATACATGAGCTTCTTCAGAAAAAATAGCCACTCTTTTAAGAAGGAGAGAAGTGTAGACATGCCAGTCGAGCTTGTTGTTTATGGTAACACGCAAATACATATAATCTGACACCTGCTTGACATTTTCAATTTATTATTCGGAGTGGGTGCAGGGGCAATTTCATTTTTCTGAAGACAGAAGAAAATTATTAATGCTCTGGGTTTTTTTCTATTTTAAAGCCACTTATGAGTTTCACACTACTCAGGAAAGTTTAGTTTAAAACTCCGAAAAGCATCATCATGGTCAGCCGGAATTAGCTCAATTATGATCGAATCGGCCGTAAACTTAAACAACTTGACGTTATTGATGTTAATTTGGCAATCGTGTGTGCACGGTATATACAAAACTGGCGACAAAACACATTGGGGGGGGGGGGATATTTGTTGTGATGTGTGTCGATCAGGAATGTTTTTAATTTTACTTGCTGGGTTCGGTTGGTGAGAAAATTCCCTTTTCATGATATTATATTGACGTCTACACCATGTTTTATAATTTCTTTAAAAGGATAACTGGCTGGATAGTATCAAAGGATGAAAAATCTAAGTGCCTAAACATGTTGTCGAGAAATAGTAAAATGTCGTCTTCCACATTTCATGCAAATTGTAGAGGGTCCTGAATATGTTCAATGTATGTTTGTAGGCTTTTAAACACATTGTTTCTAGACATTACATTGCAACATTACAGAATGTTAAGACTACTGGGTCTCTGGTCATTCATTTCCGTTATAAAACTTTTTTTAGGGGGAAAACTGAGCATTTCTAAAAAGTAGAAATACAGAGGAACTCGGATTCAACGAATTCGTTGGGCCTGGCCTTTAATTTCATTGAATCCGAGTGCTCCTTTTTAGTAAACATGATGTTTTTTTGTGTACATAATTACAGGCACGGCGCAAGTATTGTATAATGTATTTCCTCAATCAAAAGTAGTTTTGTTTCAAATGAGAGACGATTTCGTTTCTTTCATACCGAAGAAATGCAAGAATATTCCAGAAAAATACACTGAACTCTACCAAGCACATACTATGAAAAGGGCGGGCCGATTCCTTCAAATGCATGCCTGTCATCTATAAGGTACTGTTTGCCAAACAACTTATGTTGCTGTGTATAACGTAGCATACGGCAACGTTTGATTTCACAGTCCTGTGCGCAATTCATTACGTAGATCTATGACAAGATTAGCTTATCACTGTAATATTGATCGGTAGCTGGGGAAAAATAACTGTTGTTTGTGAGTGTATGTGTGTGTATTTGCGCGCACACGCGGTGTGTGTCTGTCTGTGTGTGTGTATGTGTGTGTGTGTGTGTGTGTGTGTGTGTGTGCGTGTGTGTGCGTGTGCGTGCGTGTGTGTGTGTGTGTGTGTGTGTGTGTGTGTGTGTGTGTGTGTGTGTGTGTATGTGTGTGTGCGCGTTTATAATTATGTGTGATGTGTCGTGCAGTCCTTTTATTTTTTTAAACGGCCTCTCCACAGCGTCACCTTCTTGTAGGGGAGATAAGAAAAGGATATTGGTGCCTTGAGGATTGGGAATTCCCGGTTCTCGCCCGTGTATACAGCTTGTACATGTTGGTTCTGGTGTTTCTGCTGCCACTTGTGCTGATGACCACCGCCTACTTCAGCATATGCCGTCGGCTGAGGGAAGTCCGATACCAGCAGTCCGCCCCCAGGATCAGCAGGTTGCTTTCTTGGTTATCTTTTGTTTTTCATTTGAGGGCTAAAACTCTAACATCCATAGCTGGTACCTTTATTAATAAATTGATCATTTATGGTTTGGTCTGTTTCCTTGGGCTAAAACAGTACCTAAACATAGATAACGGTCTTTTAAGACTGTTTGATAATGTTATATTTTTCTTGCTTTTTTATTTTTTGTAGGGGGGGGGGGGGGCTACGTCTGCAGGATATCTCGCTTTTTAGTGGACCAAATTTTACCATATTTCACATATATAACAAGCATACTAAGGAGTTTTTAATCCGCAATCAAATTTGGAAAAAGAAGTTTTGTTTCCATAGATACGGCGGCCATATTCGATTTTGTTGACATGTCTTACGTAATAAATACCGCATTTATCGTTCATGGAAATTGATTGGGTTGTTTTTTTTTGCATACATGATAGCAAACATTAGATGTGAAAATCTGAGTATTGATTTTTTCCTAAACGAATTTGAAAAGTTTTAATAAATTTTTTCTTGAGGTAGTATTCAAGTTTGCAAAAAAATCCATGAAAATCCACACTCCAGACACCACCAACAAAAATCTATTCCACATATCAACAAATCAAAAATTCAATAGACAGATGTTTAGTATTACATCTTCTCTTCATTCTGTGAACATTTCATGAAGATTGGATGAAAAATGGTGGAGTTATTAAAAATAGTATAGAGAAAAACCGCGTTTTGAGAAAACGGCCGATAAAGCAAAATAAAATATTGACTTTATGAGGAAACGGTGGCGATAAACATGCCCGGTATGGGAAGAAATAAGGTTTTGGGGGGTTCTAATGAGATGAAATAGTTGTAAGACAACCTGAGAAAGCTAAAAATGCCTACAACTCATATTCCATGATTTTGAGCCGAATTGGGCTTTTGGGGATGTAGCCCCCTCTCCCCCTTAAAGACTCAAGAGCGTTGGCACATTTCGTTACGTTGGTATTTTTCCGGGATATAGTATGAATGACCCTAGCATTCTTTCACGTGTGCTTCTTGTGAAGTTGTCAAGGCTTTCTGCCTATTTAGCTTGGTCCTTCTGGTTTACTATCAAAATATAATAATTGTCTATATGCACAGAATTAACAACAACAACAACAAGAACAACAACAAAACATATTATGTGGATAAAACAAGTTATATAACTTTTGAACAAATTTACAGAGAGTTTCTATGTTTCTACCTTCAGGCAAAAGTGCCAAACACTGCAAAAGAACAACGGCGTTTATGTATGTTGTGTCAGGGGTCTGTCCATGACAAGACACTTATTAGAATCGAACTAAATAACACAGAGAACCCCCCCCCCCCCCAAAAAAAAAAAAAAAGAAAAAGAAAAGAAAAGAAAAGAAAAAAACAACAACGAAGAAACAAACCAAAAGAAAAAACACAACAAAAACCAACAAACGAAACAACCCCCCCCCCAAAAAAAAAAAACAAAAAAAAACACAACAACAAAACAACAACAACAAAAAAACAAAAAATAAATAAATAAATAAATAAAATTAAAAAATAAATAACTAAATAAATAAATGAAAATAAAATTTTAAAAAAACTGAAAAAAAAGGTAAAAGCCAACTGGAAGGATACACTGGTATTCTCCTCTCTTCTCTTTTTTTTTCTCTCCCAGGCGTAAGAGCGCCCTGAACCCTGGCCTGGATCTGCCGTACGCCCTTGCAGACAGACAGAGTCGTGTGTTGATGAGGGGCGTGTACCCCGGACACGGCAGGAGGATCTGTTCCATCAGCGAAGACTCCACTAGGAAGCAGGTAAGACCCCGAATGTCCAGTGGTCAAATTGGCCCCCATCTCAAAAAGTCAGTTCGGGTTGGCTCCTGTTGGGAAAAGGTACTGGGTAACAATAATATAACAAAAAAAGAACCTCTGCTTTGTTTTATCAAACTTGACCCGGAAGTCCATTATGGCTTATCTCATTTTGCGCGCAGAGATTAGACCTCGCAACGTGTTGTGGCCCGTTGTAGTCTTCACTTTTGCTGGAATCAAGCCTTCTTAACAGCATAGATTTAGCCCTTTCACTTCAAACTTCTCAAAAACTTTCTTAGCATAATTATATCATCCATTTTAAGTGACGGTAGTGGTTTTACCGTCCACGTCCTGCGACAAGAAGGTCTGACTGATTGAAAAAATAACAACCCCTTCTCTCGCAAGAATGTCTTTCTGACAAAATCTTGACTCATCAAAGGCTCCCATATAATAATAATAATAATAATAATAATAATAATGATAATAATAATAATCATAATCATAATCATAATAATAATCATAATCATAATAATAAATAGCATTTGAATAGCGCACATCCTGGCTCCACAGCAAGCTTTATGCGCTTTACATAGTATTATTACCACAGCAGACCATAATAAAACAGTCAGAAACATTCTCAGCATCCCGGGAAGCGTACAGTGCAACCAGCTGATTAAGCGCTCTAACACTAACAAACTAACAAGATCTTCCACTGTCTATAGTTGGGTACCCATTCCCACCTGGGTGGAGTGAGGAAAATTCGAGTAAAATGCCTTTCCCAAGGACAAAACGTCGGGCCGTTAATGAGATTCGAACCCACGACCCCACGATTGCGAGTTTGAGAGCCTGACCACTAGGCCACCGACGCGTCATATATTATCCCTAGTTGATGTTTTCCTCTTCTTCTATGTACCAATCATTAGCATTACGCATTATTTCTATGTTATGAAGGTCAAAGTGACTCTAGGTCTATTCTACCAAATATTATATGACATTTTAGCCCTATCCGTACGCCCTGGGGTTATTATATACCCCGTTGGGTCGTATTCTTCACATTTTAGAATACTTCTAGGGCGAAGATCTCTTTGAAACTTTCAATATTTCTCCAAAAATAATTTTGACAGCCTGCTAGGCAAAGCGTACGGATCGTATTAACGAGTAAATTTCCTCTTTGGAAGGAGGTGGCGCAGAGTTCCCCACTTCGTATGGATGCGATAGTAAAACACGACGTACGGATAAGGTTAGAAGACGTTTATAGTTCAGTAAAAACCATTATAACGGTGTCAAAGTCGACCTACGACGTTGTTGGAAGGGGAAGTATGTTTGAGGTGTCATATTCAGTTAAATTTCTAAACCAGTGAAATATCATCAGTAGAATTATATTGTAAGATGCTATAAATTTAGATCACATTTGGTGTTGGGTCAGTGGCACGTATGACTGCCACGTTACAACAGTTCTATGACGCTGTGAGTAAAGAACGAAGCAGAACAGTTTGCGATTAATCTACGTTTCTCTAAGTATCTAAGCGCCCATGGATCTGTAATAGCCCTTAACAAAAACTTTTCTCGTCCGCACTGCATCAAAATCCCATTGGCCAGGCTTTAAAAAATTCAAGAAATCATTAGCTTCTTGTCCACATCAGCATGTTGGTCATTACCACGATGTATACATAATATTCAGCACACGTTAGATGAACTAATGAACGTCGTGAATGTCTCCAAAGTACGGACACGTCGTGTCATCGCACAGTGTTGCCAAGAAAGGTAAAAGTCATAAAGCGGTCATATTAACATGTGTACGTATTATTTGAACGACTGGGATTCGACGGGCTGCGCGAATAGTATTATATTATGATCTTTTCATGATATTTTGACGATAAGAAATCGAATTTCGACGTTGCACACATGCAAGGCACACTCCAGATTAAGAGGCTGCAATTCTTAAAATGTCCAAATTTGGGCTAATTTCATTAACCCTCTCTCTCTTTCTCTCTCTCTCTC